TTGTTTGGCAGTGCGTTGTACCGCTTGGTGCTACTTGCCATTGATTGACAATGATTGGCATGGCTTTGCGTTGCTTGGCATTGCTTGGCATTGCTTGGCGCTGCTTGGCTTTGCTTCGCATCGCTTGGCATTACTCGGCGCTGCTTGGCGCTGCGTGGCATTACCTAGCGTTGATTTGCATTGTTTGGCGTTGCTTGGCACTGCTTGGCGTTGCTTGGCGTTGCGTGGCGTTGCTTGGCGTTGCTTTGCACGGCTCGGCATTGCTTGGCATTGCTTGGCGTTGCTTGGCGCTGCTTGGCATCGCTTGGCATCGCTTGGCGCTGCTTGGCATTGCTTGGCATTGTTTCGCATCGCTTGGCACTGCTTGGCGCTGCTTGGCGCTGCGTGGCATACTTAGCGTTGCTTTGAATTGCTTGGCGTTGCTTGGCGTTGTTTGATGTTGCTTAGCGTTGCGAGGCACTGCTTGGCGTTTCTTTGCACGGTTTGGCATTGGTTGGTGTTGCTTGGTAGTGTTTGGTATTATTTACTTGGCATTGCTTGACATTGCTTCGCATCGCTTGGCATTGCTTGGCGAAGCTTGGCATTGGTTGGCGTTGCTTCGATCTGCTTTGTTCTGCTTGGCGTTGCTTGATGTTGCCTGATATTGCTGGGCACTGCTGGAAAACAAGACCAACAACCAGGGGGGGGAACCTGAGGAACCCAGGGAACCCGAGGAACCTTCAGGGAACGGGCACAATAAGAGTACGAGGCACCGGGGGCGGGGAACCTGAGGAAGCCGGGAAACCCGAGGAGCTTCCTGGGAACGGGCAACGTAACAAGGGGAGGCACCGGGGGCGGGGATCTTGAGGAACCCGAGGAACCCGAGGAACCTTGGAGCAACGGGCAAAGTGATAATAGGAGGCTTGGGGCGGAACCTCCGAGCAACGAGCAAAGTGACAATAGGAGACACCGACCGTTAACCAAGTAAGAACCTTTTAGGCAGGCCTAAGTGGGGAAACAGCATTTCGCACGCTGTATATTTTTGTGGATAAGCGACAAGACATCGCACAATGAACCTGGCGCGACCCCAATTAGGGGAAAGCGTCCTATTGTATGAGCGCAGTGCTTGACATTGCTTGGCACATTGCTTGGCACATTGATTGGCATTGCTTGGCGTTGCTTGGCATTGCTTCGCATTGCTTCGCATTGCTTGGCATTGCTTGGCATTGTTTGGCAATGCTTGGCATTGCCTGGCATTGCGTCACATTGCTTGGCATTGCTTGGCCTCGCTTGGCAAAAGACACCGGGGACGGAGAACCCGAGGAACCCAGAGAACCCACGGGCAACGGGCAACGTAACAATAGAAGGCACCAAGGGCAGGGAATCCGAGAAACCCGAGGTACCTCCGGGCAACGGGCAACGTAACAATAGGAGGCACCGGGCGCCAAAGAACCCGAAGAACCTTCGAGGAACGGGCAAAGTAACATTAGAAGGCAGCAGCCGTTAACCAAGTAAGAACCCCTTAGGCAAGCATGACTTGGGAAAAAGGGGATCCCACCCACGCCCAAATCGACTGAATCACAAATAATCGCCAGCTCCAACTCATACATGCCAGGACATATATGCAACCTTCCAGCCAACTGGACAAGCGCACGCCATACCACCCAGCAACTAAAACTGCGAGTTGCAGTTCATACCTACCAGGACATCGATGCAGAGTTCCAGCCAACTGGACAAGTGTACGCCATGCAGCACAGAAACTGAAAGTGCTTCACTTCTTTCGTAAAGCCGCTCGCCTCGGAGTCTGCCGTCCATCGTGGCCGAGGGCATCCGCTCCAACGCTCAAAGCGGTTAAATAACATGTAAACGCCGCTGTCCCCTCAGGACCAAGGGTTCTCTGCCACTCCGACTGCAAGCGAGGCAAGGTCACTACCAAGAACAGAGAAGGCGAGCCACCAGCATAGCAGAGAGCAGCAGCAAACAAATAAAAACAATAACAAACTAACAATCAAATAGAGCAACCGCAGGAGCTCCACCTGCGCGCTTCACGAACACTGCACCGCAGCATGTGACAAAGTCACGCCTCTGCTGCCAACTGCGCCGTGGCGAAGCCAACAGCCGCAGGCACGAAACTGAAGAGGGCCGCGGCGCCGAGGGAGCAGCTGGAGAGCCTGACCCCGCTCACCCTTTGTCGTCGGAGCTGTTGACCACCATCGGACTGGACGATCCCCCGTGCCATGACGATGCTGTCGCCACCGAGGTCGACCACGTCAAAGGTTGCGCCGTCCGCAGCGCTGAAAAACAGCCCCGTGGTTTTGATGATTGGCATGTAGGAAGTGTGAAGGGCGCGCAGCCACTCAGTCCCCACCCCAGGGGACGGGAAGCCCACAGGCAACGGCTTGAGCCAAACACACACACACACAAGTTCCCGCCCCCCACACACACAGACAAACAAACAAACACACACACACACACAAGGTTCTACACGCAGGAGTCCATGCATAGGGTCACACACATGTGGTTCCGCACATAAAGTTCCACACCCAGGGCTCCACACACGCATGGCTCTGCATGTATGGCTTGCTTCTGTTTCATTGTTCGGCGCCCACATGCCGGTAATCGTTTATTTCAATATCAGTAACCGCATGCAGGACAGCGAGGCGCACTCTATCGGCGCGCTTGGTGGTGACAGCCACGCTGTGCATCTGCGGCATTATAGCAGCTTTCGTTGGCCTTGTGGGGCTGATGCGAGTGACCAACGTGGTCGAGGGCCTCATGGACAGCTTGGAGGAGGAATAGGGAGAGGAGGAGGACTGGGCGGGGGATGGGGGCGGACGAGGAGGCGTATCGCTCTTAATGTCTGATGTTGCTTCTGCTAGGCGTGCCAGTGTGTGCAACATTGCCCATCAAGTGCCCACCGATTGCCTGCAAAGCAAAGACAGCTTTTGACCGCCATGTTCTGTCGCAGCAGGAAGCTTCAACGAACCTCTCTGCTGAGTGCGAGGCCATGCGGATTTGGATCAGTGGGACGTGTGAGCCCTCTCCCCCCTCCTACTCCTTCTCCTCCTCGCTGCCTCCTCTCTTCGGACCTCCACTGCATACGTAACCCTACTCAGAGCAGCGCAGGCTGCCATCAGCATGCAGTCGCGACGACGCTCGACGCTCAGCTACTTGCGTTCTTCATCCTTTTCCTCCTCCTCTTTCTCCTCATCCTCCTCCTTGTTCTCCTCCTCCTCCTCCTCCTGCTCCCCCTCCTCCTTTCCGTCCCTCACCCTCCCGTCCTCCCGTCCTCTCTCCTCCTCCATCTCAGCCTCGTCCTTACCTCATCCTCCTGTCCTTGCCTCCTCTCCTCCTCTCCCCCCTCCACCTCCTCCTCCCCCTCCTCGTTATCCTCGTATGTTCCTCCTCCTTCTCTTCTTCCCTCCTTCGTTCTTCCCCCAGACATTGCTCAGCAGAGCCAGCACGGGCGTCCGGCTCGGTGCAAAGCCGCGGCGGAGGTAGCCCAGCAGGCGTGCGTTCAGCCCGTCGGCAGCTCGTTACCGCCGACGTGACCGCCACGCTTGATGCCAAGCCCTAGTGGCTGCTAAGCCATAGTGGCTCCCTGACATCCTCGCGTTGTGGAAAACAACGACGGGAGGCGTTGGTCAATTGTCGCCCTTTGGGGGCCCTCATCGGGCCCTGGGATCGCCAAAAAACAACTCGGGGTGAAAAACTGATCCAAGGGAAGGGGTCCAGACCTCCGGGGGGCCACGTTGTGAAAAAGCACGGCGTCGAATGCTTCGAATGCCATAGTGGTCTCACACCGCCCAGCCGGTTCGGAAGAACCATGTCCAGAGTTGGGTACCAAATCTATCAAGAGACGGCGCGGACCTCGAGGAGTTTGGCTCGGTCTCCTGGGCCTCTTTAGGAGGGCCAGCTTTCGATTTCTGAGAGGTGCAGGGCGCATCGCCTCGGCCGCTCGTCACCGTTGACATGACCACCGCGCTGAGTGCTCAGCCGCAGCGGGGTTCGCTCGGCGGGGTATGCGCTCACCCCTCGGCCGCGATTTGCCTCGGCATGGCCGCCACAAGCACCAGGTCAAGATTTCGACCTGCGAAATTGCTGTATCGGTGGACACCGAGCCGCACGCACACCACAGCGCTTTGCTAATCAGTCTTGTGGGTTGCTGAAGTACTAGGGTCACAGATCGGGTCATGTCGAACTGCCTCACTCCTGGCCTGGGCCCCAGGGTGTCCAAAATGGCGCGGGAAGCTAGGAGCACCTTGGGCCAGTAGCGCATCTGGCAGCCTCCGAATACCGTAAGTCACCCGGGCTCGCAGACTCGGGGAACACATGACCTTTTGGCCTAGGATCGATCTGGCCTGGGGTTTGATTTCGATTCGATTTCCCAGAGCTGACTCCAGAACAGTGAGGTATCGTGACAGCTTTTGGTGTCGCGTACACTCGTATACAAGTTGGGTGGCAAGCTAAACGATCGCCGTGGGGAGCCAGAATCCCCCCCCGAAGCTTCGAGCCCTTTGGGAACACGTCTCTGCCGCGCTCGGGCGCAGAGATTCCGACGAGCGCGTGGATCCCCGAACGCGGGCTGCTACCAGTGACGCAGGCATGCCCTCTATGTAGACCCCTTCCTCTCGTGCTCTGCCAAGCCCCCCTCACAGCCTGCCTGCCGGCGCGCCTCTGCTGGCCGTTCCGGGCGGCGGAGCGGTGCACCGTGGCGCGGGCTCTGCTCGACTTCTGCGCATCTGGTCGGGCACGTTGGCTCGGCGCGTCGCGCCGCCCGCTCTGGCCCACCTCGCTTCGGCGCGACACGCGACAGTCAACCCGCCTGGCAAGAGTGAGCAAGTTCCCCAAGTGTACGATTGCATCCGTTTGCCTCCTCGGTCCATCCTTCGCCACCTTCGTTGGCCGCGCCCCGCTCGAAAAGCTTCGACATGGGCGTCCAAGGCCCTTGCGTCCTTATCGCGGACCCTTTATGATCCGGGCCGGCTGAGCGTCAGCGTCCCGAGCCTTTTCCCAGCCTCTCGCCCGGGGGAGCGGCGCGACACGCCCATCCGCCTGCAAGGCATGGCGTGCCGCTGGGGCCGCCGCCGTGACGCGCCAAGCGAGAGCCCCCGACCGCATTACCACCTAGGAGGGCAGTTAGCAGCAACGTAATCGTGGCATGGCCCGTTCCCGTCTTCCCTCACTTGCGTTTCGGCAGCGTTCGCAGGACAGGCATGCGTCGGACTTCTAGTACATTGCCAGCACGCTTGGCGAGGCGAGTTGTGTACATGATCGCGGTCCGCTCCCATCTCCTGCTCCTCAACAACAACAACAACAACAACAACAACAACAGCAACAGCAACAGCAACAAAAACAGGAGGGCGTCGAGAGCTACGTTCAGGTGGCCTCCCCCACGGTCGTCGCGGGGCTCGGCTTCGTCGTCGGCATGCTCCACACGCTCGCGGGACACGCCGGGGGGGGGGGGCCCCACGGCCTGCACGGCTCGACGTCGGCGCGGCGGCGGTTCGCCGGCGCGGGCGCTCCACGGGCGAACACCCCCAAGGCCTATAGTCGAAGCGTGAAAAAATCACAGCGGGCGTTTTTGTTTGCATTCTTCGGCCTCGAGGAGCCCTGACTTGGGCCCCAGGACCCTTTGAAAGACGATGCAGGAGGAAACTGCGGTCCTGGGGGAGTGGTCAAAACCTCCAGGAGCACTACATGCTTGTCAAGAAATATGAACACGTCGGAGGTCTGGGCCTCTTGGTGCCCGATGCGGGCGCCAGGGCCAAGAAGGAGCAGCCCACGGAAAGCGAGACCCGTGCGATCGATGAGGCTCTGGGGGCCCCCAGCATTGGAGCCACTGGGTGATGTTGGAGAGGACGCTGCAGAGTCGAAGGTCGTTCCTTACAAAGTGCTTGCACTTATGGGGCTCTTACTTCTGCTCTGCTACGGAACTGGGCCGCGCCTTGGGTCTGGCGGCCACGCGGCCGCCGCCGCCGCCGCCCTGTCGGCGCCTCGTTGCCGCCCGTCGTCTGGGCCGTGTCTTCGGTCTGGCGGCTCTGTGGCCACCGCCGCCGGCCGCCCCGTCGCCGCCCTGGATTGCACCACATGGGTTCTCCTCCTTTGGGCACCTCCTCTGTGTGTGCAGGGGGGGGGAAAACAAAAGACAAAAAAAGAGAGAGGGAGACAAAAAAAAACATTGATTCTCCCTTCTCAAAGAAGAATAGACTCTACCCCCCCCCGGAGTTAACGGCCCACCTTTTCGTTTAGCGATTCACATATGATTATGCCCCATGGTCCATCCGAAATATGACTTCATACTATCCCTGGCAGGCCGGTATCGCCCCCCCCCCGCCATCCTCTGCAACAAATATTTTGCGCGCACATTCGTTTATCAAAAACCGTAAGTTTTAAGAATCCTTTACAACAAACAAACACCACAAAGTCATCACGCGCGCGTCCATGTCAAAATCGTACCAAACACAGTGTGCTTGCCAGCATTTCAGCAAATAACTGTTTTACCCCAAAAAAAAACACAAACAAACAAAAAAAAAAAAAAACTAACAATAAACAAATAAGTCTTGCAATAGAATGTTTTTCCGCGCGCTCATGCTAAAATCAGAGAAAAAAACACAGGAGTCTTTTGAATTCTACCAATCCAGCGATTTCGTGTCACCGCGCAGTGCATCCGCGATACTTTTGTCATGCGCCGAGGGCGCGCCTCCCTGGCAAAAACACCACGCAGGCCACAGGCGCGCGCCGCCGCGCGCGCATGATCAGTCTGACGGATTTGCTGAACTTCCGCGCGCGTGGATTTCCTTTTCAACCTTGTCAGCATCACCGCGATCACCTGCCTCATCGACAGATGGACATCAGCATCGTCAACGTGTTTGCCATCATTGGCGCCGTTATCGTTCGTGCCGTCGCCTTCTTGAACATCGTTGTCGCTGGTGCCATATTCGTCATTGTCGCAGACGTTGCCGACGTCATCTTGTCATCGCGCACGTCCGAGTACCGTCGATATGTTCACCTTCATCATCGATTCACGGTGACAAGCATCGGCAGAGAGGATGTTATCATCGATGTCGTCATCGGTGGCGCCGCCGTCCCCCCGCATCATGAGTTTTGCCAAACAAGTTGCGGGTGGGAGGGGTGGGACGTTTGCGCGAGCACTGAAGATGACGGCTTCAAGTTTAACAGAGCGGATTGCACCACACGAGATGCACAACATATCTTGCACCGAATAGATCGCACCACGTATAACATTTCATAAAAGTCTAAGATGCAGCATATTAATTCTCCTTTCTAAAAGAGTAATAGATTCTACCCCCCCCCCTGGACTGATCGGTTGCCCCGCGCGTGCTGTAAATCACACATGATTCTGACCACATGTCCATCCTAAATATGAACTCGTACCATCCCAGCTAAGCCGGTACCCCCCCCCTGCGGTTCCCTTGTAAAAAACACTATGCGGCGACATTTTTTGTTCCAATATAACAGTTTTTCACGAATCCCTTGCAAAAAATGGGACGAAGTGCACACGCGCGCGTCGTCGCGCGCGCATGCCGGAATCCTTCAAAAACCTTCGGTGCCGGAAGGATTTCGCAATCGAGTTTCCAAAAAAACATACAAAAACACAGGGTTTCGCAACACTGATTTGCTAAACAAGCTTCCGCGCGAGCTCTTGCGAAATCTGAAGAAAACCATGGGTTGTTCAAGATTTTCACAAAATGCTACCAAACGGGCTTCGCGCGCGCGCATGTCGAAATCTGTCGAACGCCCTTGCGCGTGTGCCGTCGCGAGAATCCTCTGCAACAAATGGGACGAAGTGCAGACGCGCGCGTCGTCTCGCGCGTACGCCGAAATCCTTCAAAACCCATCTGTTTCGGAAGGATTTCGAAATCGCGCGTCCAAAAAACCTACAAAAACACAAGGTTTCGCAACACGGGTTTTCAACAAAAGCGTGCGCGCGCGCTCTTGCGTCGTCGTCGTCGTCGTCGTCGCCGTCCTCCCTCCTCCCGCGTCGTCGTCGTCGTTGTCGCCCACGTCGTCCTCTGTCTTTCCTCGTGTTCGTCGTCGTCGTCCTCTTTGGCGTCGTGGTCGTTTCCGTCGTCGTTGTCGCCGTGGTCGTCCTTCCTCCTCCTCCCTCGTCGTCGTCGTCGTCCGTCGTCGGCGTCTCGTCGTCGTCCCTCCTATTTCGTCGCCGTCGTCGTCGGCGTTGTCGTCGTCGTCTTCCCTCCTCCCTCGTCGTTGTCGTCGTCGGCGTCGCCGTCCTTCTTCCTTCGTCGTCGTTCGCGTCGTCGCCGTCCTCCCTCCTCCCTCATCGTTGTCGTCGTTGTCGCCGTCGTCGTCCTTCCTCCCTCGTCGTCGCCTTCGTTGGCGTCGTCGTCGTCGTCTTCGTCTTCGTCGGCGTCGGCGTCGTTGTCGTCGTCGAAGTCGTCGGAGACGTCGTCGGTGTCGTCCTAGTCGTTGTCGTCGGTGTCGTCGTAGTCGGTCTGAACAGGTTTTGCAAACCAAGTTGCGGGTGGGTGGGTGGGATGTTTGCACGAGCAATGGAGAGGACAGCTTCAAGACAGTCAAAGTGGATTGCACCACGTAGACTGCAGCACATAGATTGGTCAACACAGGCTGCACCGCAGATATTATTTGTTCTGTTCTCCTTTCTTAAAAGACAGCATACTCTACCCCCCCCCCGGCGTTATCCGCCCCGTTTTCGGGTACGTAAGTCATGTATGATTTTGACCACATGTCCATCCGAAATATGAATTTACACTATCCCAGAAGGGCCGGGATCGACCCCCCTGAGGTCCCCTTGTAAAAACGATACGCGAGGGCAGTTTCTGTTTTAACATCGGACTGTTTGACGAATGCCTTGCAAAAAATTGGACGAAGTGCACGCGCGCGCGTCGTCGCGAGCGCATGCCGAAATCCTTCAAAAACTCTCGGTGCCGGAAGGATTTCGCAATCGAGTTCCCAACAAATAAATACAAAAACACAGGGTTTCGCAACATTGATTTGCAAAAAAAACACAAAACCAAAAAATCCGCGCGAACTCTTTTTTTTTGAAGAAAAACAAAAAAAAACATAAACAAAAAGTTTTCCTGATTTTGACAATATCAAACGGGCTTCGCGCGCGCGCATGTCGAAATCTGTCGAACGCCCTTTGCGCGTGTGCCGTCGCGAGAATCCTCTGCAAGAAACGGGACGAAGTGCAGACGCGCGCGTCGTCGCGCGCGTACGCCGAAAACCTTCAAAACCCATCGGTTTTGGAAGGATATTTTAAAAATTGTGTGTCCAAAACACTTACCAAAAAAAGGTTTCGCAACACGGATGTTCAACAAAAGCGTTGCCGCGAGCTCTTGCGTGGTCGTCGTCGTCGTCGTCGCCGTTTTTCCTCCTCCCGCGTCGTCGCCGTTGTCGCCTACGTCGTCTTCGGTCTCTCCTCGTGTTCGTCGTCGTCGTCCTCTTTGGCGTCGTGGTCGTTTCCGTCGTCGGCGTCTCGTCGTCGTCCCTCCTATTTCGTCGCTGTCGTCGTCGTCGTCGTTGTCGTCGTCGTCGTCTTCCCTCCTCCTTCGTCGTTGTCGTCGTCGGCGTCGCCGTCCTTCCTCCTTCTTCGTCGTTCGCGTCGTCGCCGTCCTCCCTCCTCCCTCGTCGTTGTCGTCGTTGTCGTCGTTGTCGCCGTCGTCGTCCTTCCTCCTCCCTCGTCGTCGCCTTCGTTGGCGTCGTCGTCGTCGTCTTCGTCGTCGGCGTCGGCGTCGTTGTCGTCGTCGTCGAAGTCGTCGGAGACGTCGTCGGTGTCGTCGTACGGGGCCCCCTGGGCTCCCTTAGGGGGCCTCTGGGGGCCACCACTTGGGAGCCTCCTGGGGCGGAAGGCTCGAGTTGGTGGTTCGCGTTCCCCTGCTTAGGCCCCTCTTGGGGGCAGCGCTTGCACTGAGGCTTCTGATTTCTCTTCTGCGGGAGTGGGCCTGCGGGCCGCCATGTGGCCGCCGCGTGGCCGCCGTCGTCGCCGCCTCGTCGCCGCCCCGTCGCCTGGGCCTGCGGGCCGCTCTGGCCGCCACGTGGCCGCCGTCGCCGCCTCGGCACCGCCCGTCGCCGTCCGTCGCCTGGGCACTGCACTGCCATCGCATCGCACTGCAATCGCACCGCTCTGCATTGCTTTTTGCAGTGCATGGCGTTTCTCGCTCTGCATTACGTTGCATCGTTTTGCCTTGCATTGTCTTGCATCGCTTTGCATTGCTTTGCATTACACTGCATTGCCCTGCACTGGTTTCCACCGTTTGTACTGGTTTGCCTTGCGTTGCGGCGCATTGCTTTACTCTGCTCCGCATTGCTTTGTTTTGCTATGCACTGCTTGGCATTCCCCCTCCCCCCCGAAACGAGCGGGATCCCTTGCGTCAGGGGCTCCTGAACGCCCCCCCGCCGCCAGCTAGGGGTCCCTCGAGAGTTGCGGGCCTCTGGAGGTCCCTGGCGATGCGTGCAAAAAATGAGTCGGCGGCCTCCCCAGAGGACCCCCAAGACGGTCCAAGATGGCCTCCAGCGGCCCCAACCCCCCGCCGGACGCCCGAAGACGGCCCAAACATCACCTCCAAGAGATTCTCGAAAGGCACAAAGGGTTGATGTCCCGTTTGTCCTTGTATGCTTGGGGGCTACGCGGCGATTCGGTCGTCTGGGCGTCCGAGAACCCCCGTGAGACATTGAAAATTGCTCCAAGACAACCAAAAAAGGCTTCCTTACATTCAAGGCGAGATCCAAGAGGGCCCAAGAGGGCTCAGAAACTGCCCACAGAGGGACCATGACAGCCCGAAATTGCCCTAAGACGCCCTATGCGACATGATGGCCTGAGGGACCCCCCACAGACTGTCAAAAGGCGCCAGGGACGTCTCCAGAGGCACCCAAGGAACCTCTAAGAAGCTTTAGCGAAGTCCTCTTGCAGCTCGCCTCGGAGGAGCCTCCGCAAACAAATCTCAGGAGGATCAGGAAGGGTTCGCGGGGCAATTGAGGCGAGAACGGGAAAGAGGAAGAGGGAGAGGGAGAGGAAGAGGACACATGAGGGAATTATAAGGAACAACAATATGATGACGGTGATGGCGAACACTGCAACCAAGAGCGGTCGTTGTTTTCATTAATGTACCCTTCTCTCTCATTGTGCTTACACGTTGGACTTGAAGGACCGAGGTACATGGCGCGAAGCGCCAATGCAGTCTTGTATCCATAAAATTTGCACATGTACATGCATACAGACAGACAGACAGACAGACAGACAGGCAGGCAGGCAGGCAGAAATGCCTGCATACTTACGTACGTACATGAATACATACGTGCATATGCATACGCATGCATGCATGCATACATACATACGTACGTACATACATCATATGGCATAGCATGTCGCAGCATATCGTACCATAGTGCCAAAACATAGCAGAACATGCCATATCATAACATGGCATGTAATAACCTATCATAGCGTACCTGCATGTATGCCAAATCATACATACATACATGCATGCATACATACACGCATACATAAACATACATATCTATACACACATATACATGCATACATATGTATATGCATGCATGCATACATACGTGTATACAGGCAAAGACAGATAGGCAGACAGACAGACAGGCAGACAGGCAAACAGACAGACGTACATACATGCATACACACGCATACATACATACATACATACATACATACATACATGCATGCATGCATACATACATACATGCATGTATACATACATACATACATACATACATACATACATACATATATACATAAACAAATTGCGCGGACAGTTTTGGAAAAGCGCACGGAGCAGGAGTATTCCGCCCCCCCTCCTCAGTCCAGAACACGCTTCGGACGAAGTCCGCAGCGTCCGCGGCCGCGCTCCCGCGGCGCGCTGCAGGCTAGAAGGGAGCAATCGGCGCCATCCTCCCCCTTCCCCTTCTCCTGTTGGTGTCTCTCTGACTCGTCCGCTGGTTCTTCTCTATCTCTCTCTCTCTCTCTCTTTCTCTCTCCCTTTTTTTTTTCTCTCTCTCTCTCTCTCTTTCTCTCTCTCTCTCTCTCTCTCAGAAGAAGACGGAGAAAAAGCAGAAGGAATATTGGCATGAACTTAAGCTTTTGGAGACGCGCGCGGGTTCATTGGACCGGCGCTGGGCACTCGTGGCGGCGCCTCCGGCGCCGCCCCTGGCGCGCTCCGCGCGCCAGGGAGTGGGGTCCAGCGCGGATCCACGAAATTCCACGCGGACCTCCGAAAGCTTATGTTTACGGAATGATTCGATTAGACGTAAGATTGACTTTTCGCCGGAGTGACCTTTGGTGCGGGCACAGATGGGTCCCCGGACGGCTGACAACGAAGTAGGAGAAGCGGCTTGCGCGCCCAGGTTGTTTGGTCCCCCGCGGCCCCCAAAAAGCCGAGCACGAAAGGTCACTCTTTCCCGGGGTCGCTCTTTGCGTGTATCCGAATGATTCCCTCGTCTACCCTTCCCTTCAGCACCCGCGCGCCGCGCAGCAGTTCGCTCTGGCCCGGCGCGCTCGGGCCCGCCCTCCCAGCCCTGGATGGGGGTCGCGGCACCTTCCCGAAGCGAAGGCCGGCAGACAACACTCGAGGCATCCCTCGGTGTGAGTCGGGCCTGTCCCTCTACAGGAGGGATGCTCAAAGATAGTCCAGAAATAGTCTGTGGACGAGTTCGACAGTTTTTGCGCAGTTGGGGGGCATTTTTTGCGTATTTTTAATTTGTCGCCCAAAATCCCCCTGTGGAGAGACAGGCACGAGGCACGATTTCACCCTCGGTGGGGGAGACACGGGACCAACCTGGTTTGCACCCCGTCTCAGAAGGCCAAGGACAATGTATTGCTATCGCTTCAGGTGGAGCGGGCGCGCCTGCATTGGGCATGGAGGCCCGATGCAGAAATGAATAGAGAAACGTTTAGAGACCCGCAAGACAAACAACCTTTCTCCCGAGAGGCCCCGTCTCGGGATAAAGGTTGTTGGCAACATCTGATTTTGGCTGTATGGGAACTTCCAGCGAAGTCACAGGGGGTTGTACCCCAGTTTGCGCCCCCCTCCCCGGCGGCGGCGCAGCGGGGAGAGGAGGGCAGGGACCTAAGATTCAGGCCTGCCCTTCCAGTGCTGGCGAGTCCGCGTAAGTGGAGTGTGCGTCCTCATGGCAGTGCAGTTGGCACGTGCATTAAGAACAACTTTAGTTTTGGAAGTGAACCCCGAAGCCAAAGCTCTTTGTGCTTGACCTCTCCACCTGGGCGTGTTATTCGGTTGGGGCGCATCCTTGGGGCACTGGGCGCTCGGCGAGAAGGCCCATTTTATTGACCCGCATTGTTAGGGCCACGGCTCGACGATCCCAAAGTTCCGACGCCGTTCTTGTTTGCAACGTGGACCCCTGGAGGTCTAGACCACTTCCCCAGACTGCCGCTGCATTCTGAGTCATGTGTTGACGGTCCTGGGGCCCAGTGATTGCCCGCAGCAGCTGAAAACGGCCAAAGGTTTCCCGTCGCTATTTGTTTCGCAACGCGAGGAGGTGTTGCTGTCGATTGTACTCCACTACTCCCCCTCCCCCTCCTCTCTCCTGGCGCGTGATTGCACTCTTCTTGACGCTCGTCTCCTCTCCCCTGGACGCGAAAACGGGGAGAGGACCGGACCACCTGGCCGCGCTGGCCCCGCTGGTGGTGGGGAAGCGGCGGTCCCCAGTCAAGGCGTTCGGGCTCGGCGCCCTCTGGAGGGGAAGGGGGGGGGGGGTGCGAATCAAGCGCGACGGATTGACAGCTTTCGACCTCCAGGGGCCCAAGGACCGTCAAAAAACGACGGCCCTTGGGAAAAGGATTCGACTTCTGGGGCCCCACGCTGTGGAAAAAGACATGGGGTCGGAATTCTGGGACGGTGGGGGGAGGAGGGTCGAACTCGGCTTCGGCCCCGGTGGGCAGCCCTTTCGCGCCCCAGGGCCGTCAGAGCTGATCTTGGGTGACAGAAGAACTAATCTTGGATGAATAACTACCAGGATGAGCGTTGCGGAGGGGTGCGTGGACCGCTTTGTGAGCAGGTTCGAGTGCGGAGGAGGAGCAGGAGAACGAGTGTGTTCCTTTCCCTTCCACGACAACAGCGTATTCAGCTCCATGCTCCCAGCCGTAGTCGCGAACGCACTCCCTAGGCATGAAATGAAGCAGTTCGACACGCTGGTCCAACGAATGCCTCTGAGAGTGCACTTGTCTGATAACCAGACATATGGCTCCGCGCGCTGAATCCACGCGCACGGAGGAGGAGCGGAGTTTGGAACAGGTGCAGCGACCCACCAAAGTCTTCGAAATGATTCTCCTTTTCACAAAAGAGATATGATCTACCACCCTCCCCCCCCGACTTATCCACTCACCGGGAACCGATGTAAAACACATAGGATTCTGACCCAATGTTCATCCTACTTGTGAGTTCATACTATCCCAGCCAAGCCAGTATCGACACCCCCTCGGTCCCCTTGCAAAAAATACTATGCGTGCACACCCGTTCATCAAAAATCTTAAATGTTCAAGAATCCCTTGCAAAAAAAGATACGAAGTGCACGCGCGCGCGTCGTCGCGCGCGCATGCCGAAATCTTTCAAAAACCTGCGGCTTCGGAAGGATGTCACAACCGAGTGCCCAAAGAACATACAAAAACACAGGATTTCGCAACACGGATTTTCAACAAAAGCGTGCGCGCGCGATCTTGCAAATTCTTAAGATATTACCAACCGCCGAGCTTCGCGCGCGCGCATGTCGAAATCGTTCCAACGCCATTGCGCGCGTGCTGGGGTGGCACGATCCGTGTGAAATAATACCATGCGAGCCACTCTCGCGCGTCTGCCGCGCGCGCATTTCGAATTCCTTCCAAAACCTTCGTCAGCGACGCGAAGACGCCGTCATCGTCGTCGGCGTGATCGGCATCGGCGCCGTCATCGCCATTATCATCATTATGGTGGTTACCATCATCGTCACCAACATCGCCACTATCATCGCCATCGTGTCTACAAGTGTCGACGTTGCCATGATACCGCACCCGCCCAAGCCACCGACTCGCACTCAAGTGCCCGCTGGGATGTGCCGAGCGGTCAGCGCCACCGCGGCCTCATCGGTCACGCCAAACTACCTGGCCGCTGCGCGCGCGCATGTGCGGGCTGGCGCGGCCGCAGAGATGCACCAGCCAGCGCCAAGCATTCATCGCAATCGCCGCCGCATGAAGTTTGCAAACCAAGTTGCGTATGGGTGGGTGGGATGTTTGCGCGAGCAGTGGAGTGGACACCTCACCGCGAACAGAAATCAGTTCTCCTTTCTAAAAACAGAGTAGACTCACCCCCCCCCCGGAGTTATCGCTACCCCTTTCGGGTATGTAAATCACATATGATTATGACCACATGATACTAAATATGAAATCACAATGTCCCAGGCCAACCGGTATCCCCCCCTGAGGTTCCCTTGTAAGAAACACTATGCGGTGACATTTTTTGTTCTAACATAACATTGTTTCACTAATCCTTTGCAAAAATTGGACGAAGCGCACACACGCGCGCGCCGTCGCGCGCGCATGCCGAAATCTGTCAAAAACCGTCGGTGGCGGAAGGATTTCGCAATCGAGGTGCCAAAAAAACATACAAAGACACAGGGTTTCGTAACACTGATTTGCTAAAAAAAAAAAAAAAAAAAAAAAAAAAAAAAAAACTTACGCGTGAGCTCTTGCGAAATCTTGAGAAAACCGTTGGTTTTTCAAGATTTTCACAACATGCTACCAAACGGGCGTCGCGCGCGCGCATGTCGAAATCTTTCGAACGCCCTTGCGCGTGTGCCGTCGCGAGAATCCTCTGCAGAAAATGGGACGAAGTGCAGACGCGCGCGTCGTCGCGCGCGTACGCCGAATGTGTTTTAAACTTATCGGTTTCGGAAGGATGTCAAAATCGCGCGTCCCAAAAACCTACAAAAACACAAGTTTTCGCAACACGGATTTTCAACAAAAACGTGCGCGCGCGCTCTTGCGTCGTCGTCGTCGTCGTCGCGGTCCTCCCTCCTCCCGCGTCGTCGTCGTCGTCGCCTACGTCGTCCCGTGTCTTTCCTCGTGTTCGTCGTCGTCGTCCTCTTTGGCGTCGTGGTCGTTTCCGTCGTTGTCGTTGTGGTCGTCCGTGGTCGTCGTCGTCGTCCTCCTCCTCCGTCGCCGTCGTCGTCGTCGTCGTCGTCGTCTCGTCGTCGTCTTCCCTCCTCCCTCGTCGTTGTCGTCGTCGGCGTCGCCGTCCTTCCTCCTTCTTCGTCGTTCGCGTCGTCGCCGTCCTCCCTCCTCCCTCGTTGTCGTCGTTGTCGTCGTTGTCGTCGTTGTCGCCGTCGTCGTCCTCCCTCCTCCCTCGTCGTCGTCTTCGTTGGCGACGTCGTCGTCGTCTTCGTCGTCGTCGTCGGCGTCGGCGTCGTCGTCTTCGTCGTCGTCGACGTCGGCGTCGTCGTCGTCGCTGCCGTCGTCGTCGTCGTCGTCGTCGTCGGCCGTCTTGCTTCTCCGGCCTTCTCGGGGCGCTCTTGAGACGCCCCCGAGGGCTCCAAGACGACCCCGGAGCGATATCTGTGCTCGGTCCCGCATGAGTTTTGCAAACCAAGTTGCGGGTGGGTGGGTGGGATGATTGCGCGAGCAGTGGAGTTGCCAACTTCAAGTTCGGCAGGTGATTGCTCAAAAGAGAATAGACTCTACCCCCCCGGAGTTATCGCTACCCCTTTTCGGGTATGTAGATCATATATAATTCTGGCCACATGCCCATCCTAAATATGAAATCACAATGTCCCAGCCCAACCGGTATCCCCCCCCTGAGGTTCCCTTGTAAAAAGCACTATGCGGTGACATTTGTTGTTCTAACATAACACTGTTTCACGAATCCCTTGCAAAAATGGGACGAAGTGCACACGCGCGCATCGTCGCGCGCGCATGCCGGAATCCTTCAAAAATCGTCGGTGCCGGAAGGATTTCGCAATAAAAAACATACAGAAACACAGGGTTTCGCAACATTGATTTGTTTAAAAAGCTTCCGCGCGAGCTCTTGCGAAATCTCAAGAAAACAGTAGGTTGTTCAAGATGTTCACAAGATGCTATTAAACGGGCTTCGCGCGCGCGCATGTCGAAATCTGTCGAACGTCCTTGCGCGTGTGCCGTCGCAAGAATCCTTTGCAAAGAATCAGGACGAAGTGCAGACGCGCGCGTCGTCGCGCGCGCATGCCGAAATCCTTCAAAACCCATCGGTTTCGGATGGACTTTCAAATCATGTGTCCAAAAAACCTACAAAATCCGAAGGTTTCGCAACACGGATTTTCAACAAAAGCGTGCGCGCGCTCTTGCGTCGTCGGCGTCTTCCTTCCTCCCTCGTCGTTGTCGTCGTCGGCGTCGCCGTCCTTCCTCCTTCTTCGTCGTTCGCGTCGTCGCCGTCCTCCCTCCTCCCTCGTCGTTGTCGTCGTTGTCGCCGTCGTCGTCCTCCCTCCTCCCTCGTCGTCGTCCTGTTGGCGACGTCGTTGTCGTCGTTGTCGTCGTTATCTTCGTCGTCGTCGGCGTCGTCGGCGTCGTCGTCGTCGTTGTCATCGTCGTCGTCGTCGGCGTCGCCGTCGTCGGTGTCGTCGTCGTCGTGGTCGCTGTCGTCGTCGAAGTCGTTGGAGACGTCGTCGTCGTCGTCGGTGTCGGCGGCGCCGTCGTCGTCGTTGTCGCTGTCGTCGTCGGCGTCGGTGTCGTGGCCAAGTGCCATCTTGTACCTACTCTCACGGTCTTGTCTTAAGAGGTCTTGCGACCAAGTTGCGGGTGGGAGGGTGGGATGCTTGCACGAGCAGTGGAGAGGACAGCTTCAAGACGGTCAAAGTGAATTCTCCTTTCTAAAAAAAGAATAGACTCTACCCCCCCCCCAGACTTATCGGTACCCCCCTGGGATAGTATGATTTCATATGTATATATTACAAATATATATATATATATATATATATATATATATAGATATATTGCACACTCGTCCATCCTAAATATGAAATCATACCATCACAGCCACACCAGGTTCCCCCCCCCGAGGGTCCCTTGTAAAAAAGCACTATGCGGTGACATTTTTTGTTCTAACATAACACTTGTTCGCGAACCCCTTGCAAAAAATGGGACGAAGTGAACACGCGCGCGTCGTCGCGCGCGCATGCCGAAATCCTTCAAAAACCTGCGGTGCCGGAAGGATTTCGCAATCGAGTTTCCGAAAAACACATACAAAAACACTGGGTTTCGCAACATTGATTTGTTAAGAAAGCTTACGCGCGAGCTCCTGCGAAATCTTAAGAAAACCATAGGTTTTTTCAAGATTTTCACAAAATGCTACCAAACGGGCTTCGCGCGCGCGCAGGTCGAAATCTGTCGAACGCCCTTGCGCGTGTGCCGTCGCGAGAATCCTCTGCAAAAAATGGGACGAAGTGCAGACGCGCGCGAAGTCGCGGGCGTATGCCGAAAATCTTCAAAACCCATCGGTTTCGGAAGGATCTCAAAATCGTGCGTCCAAAAAACCTACAAAAACCTAAGGTTTCGCAACACAGATTTTCAACAAAAACGTGCGCGCGCGCTCTTGCGTCGTCGTCGTCGCCGTCGCCTACGTCGTCCTCTGTCTTTTCGTGTGTTCGTCGTCGTCGTCGTCCTCTTTGGCGTCGTGGTCGTTTCCGTCGTCGTTGTCGCCGTGGTCGTCCTTCCTCCTCCTCCTCCTCCTCCCACG